GGATTTACTAATCTGCCAAATCCCTCCAAACATACAGCACACACACATACAGCACCTGCACACATACAGCACCTACACACACACAGTACACTAACCGCACCCTCACAAACACACACAGCACCTTTAAAAAAAACGCTACACCCTCACACACAGCACACTAACAGCACCCTCACAAACACACACACACAAACAGCACCCTCACAAATACACGACACACACAAACAGCACCCTCACAGGACAAACATACACACAAACAGCACAGTCACAAACACCCTCACATCACACTAACAGCACCCTCACACACACAGCACACTAACAGCACACACAGCAGTGTGTGTGTGTGCGCGCGCGTGTGTGTGTGTTTATATATCTATATCTAGATAGATAGATATATACACACACACACACACACACACACACACACACACACAGCGTGTGTTTGTGCTTTAGGGTGCACACCCTAATGCAATAGGCTGCGCACGCCTATGAATAAGACAAACATGGGGTGGCCGGCAGCAATGTAACATAGCTGTGTGATACAAACATCATATACAAACACAAAGATAAAGTACCACGCTTACAGCAGCAGTAGCTTAGTATCCAATTGTAGTAGTGTAGTGTAGTAATGTGAACGTGGCGGCTCCTTTGTTTATCAATGGCAACCTTACTGTGGAGATAAACTTGCATTATATTTGGATAGGCTCCGGGACTATTAAGCAAAGAGCCGGTGGAGTCACATAGAGCAGAATGACAGAGAGAGAACAGATCTGGCTGGGTTTGTACTCCACACAGCGTACATAATTACCCTCTCATACAATTACTATTCATTATTTTCATAGCTTTGATGCAACAAGAAATTTTTATAGAAATTAGAATTTACTGGTGTGAGGTCATAATGGCTTATTCGAAATTAGACATCAGTTTGAAGATAAGACGGAAACAAAAAGCATATAATAAATCCTTTCCTACTACACACAGATATTGATACATCTATCATTTGGAATGTAGCAGTTTATGTGATAAATATTTCATTCCCTGTTTATACAACTATTTTAGAACCTAAAACACACTGCAAATAAGAACCTAATGGGTTTTTACATATGGGTTAGCTAATTAGACCACCCCAACCACAGAGAGAAACCAAAGTAAAATAAAATCAAATAGACCTTAAAGCGTAACTTTAACTATATACATATAAAATAGAGCAACAAATAAAAACCAACATAAAAACTCTAATTAAAAGTAAAAGCGTGTATAGCCTAAAGTCGTGTAATTGCTTGATCAAATTGTTTCTGTCAATCAGTAATATAGAGAAAGAATAGTACTAGTCAGATTCTACAGATTCTCCCGTAAAGGATCACTATAGGGTCAGGAACACAAACATGTATTCCTGACCCTATAGTGCTAAACCCACCGTTTAGGTGGCTTACCCCCCCTTAGCCACCCTATAAAAGTTTAAAACTCACCTTATCTCCAGCGCCGCGTGGGTCTGCCAACGCTGGCTCCACCCCCTTTGTAAAATTATCAAAATGGCCGATTTTTAGCCAATCCAATACTTTCCCATAGGGAAAGCATTGGATTGGATAAAATCGGCATGGGGTGGGGCCAAATGCCGTTTTGGCCAATCAGAACCTCCTCATAGAAATGCATTGAATCAATGGATTCCTATGAGGAAAATTCAGCGTCTCCATGCAGAGCGGCAGGGCTGCTTACTGTGTAGCCCTGAGCCAGGAAGCCCCTCCAGTAGCCATCTAAGGAGTGGCCACTTGGAGGTGTCCCTTGGGGCAATGTAAAAAGGCAGTGTTTACATGAAATTGCCTGAGGGGAGCTATTATACAGCATTAAGCTGTAGTTGTTCTGGTGACTGTAGTGTCCCTTTAAGAATAATAGAGTTTGTAGAGCAGACATACGATAAATAAATGTAATAGTCTACTAACCTATAGATCAGAACAAGTGGTGTGCTTCAAAATGATTTTATCTGGTATATAATAAGCCGATCTGCAAGTAACAGGAAAATCTTAACTACAGTAGGTGTGAAGCTAAATGACCACTAAATTGCTACAATGCGGACAGTTACTATGTTCTCACACCTTCAAAGGAACTAAAGGATACTGTTGCCACTAGTTGTGTTACAAAATGCAAATAAACGCTGCATGATATTGCTACAAAAAGGAAGTCATTATAGAAGCTGATACACTGCCCTAAGGTTTTCCTAAATTAGGAATCCATGATTAGTAAATTGAACCCGTAGTAACACTCAAAATATAGAAGATCCCTAAATAAAGTCTTAACAGTCTAATATAAAAGGAGATTGCACTATGAGGCAGGGAGAGCAACCAGAGCCCCTCGGGCAACCCCGAGTTTAGCATTTACTTCTTTGTGTTCTATAATACGGTCTTCCATTTAGGCTCCTCTGATTGAATGCTCAAACTGAAAAACAAGTTGAGCAAAATAGCAGGATTAATATTAGGTCAAATGGCAAAACAGAGGATAACTGACACTTTAGGCCTCACAGAGGAATTTGGGCAAAGTGACAGGCCTGTTTCCACAAGAAAAAAGTTATTTTTCATGTCCATTAGAGTCAATGATAATTTGTTTTCTAAAGTTTTGCTGGAATTTTATGCAGGAAAATCAAACATTTGCAATACAGATACAAAGAGGATAGTCAAAGAAAAGTGAATGTTGTCCAAGGTTAAGACAAGCAGCGATTGACTGCAACTCACAGTGAACATTCAAAGAGGCACAGGCACACTGTCTGGAAAAAGCCAAGTGAGAAAACTATGTTTTAAACTGAAGTAATCATTTGAAAACTGCACATACAATAAAATTTGCTGGTATCGGACAAAGTGTAAACATTAATGAGACATGAAGGGGTGTTTTATAAACCCCTACATACTTATTAACCCTAAATAGGGCTATAAACATGAAATGTATCTTTCCTGGTAAAATATTTTATAAATAAATTTTATAAATAAATAAATCACCTTGCCGGTATCAGCTAAAAGGCAAAACAGTAGATGCTCTCCCGCTAAAATGACAATGTTACCAAAATCCCTATTAACACAAAAATTCAAATTACAAAGAGTCAAAGTTTCCAATGTGTTATTATACATTTTAACAGAAGCTACAGTGGACATAATTGCTGGCAGTGTTGTTGTATATGCATGTAGGGTATGCTCCTCCAGTATTTTGGTTTAACAACCAATAAGAATAAAAATAATCATCATTCTTGAAGATCCATGAATTAAAACCAAAACAGTACTAAAAAATCCTTTTTATTTTCCATTTCTAAAACATGTATTTATTAAGACATTGGTATTTAACAAAACGGAGTTGGAATAAGCACATTATGTTGGACAATGGCACATAGAACACAATTCTCATATTGGGTAACGTTTCCTGGAGATATTTCCTGCAATTATCAAAGTATTAATCCAACCAAGCCAGTCATTGGCATTTCTTGAAATAAATATTATTTTTTTATCCCGAGTCTCACTGTTCTATGAACTAAACCTAAAATTTCAAATGAGATGCCGGTGAATGCTGCTTGATTGCAACATAGCAGCCAGTTCAATCAAATATAGTTTGTCTATTCAGAAACTGCTGAATTGTGGACAGATTGCAGCAAAATGTTTAAATCAGTTGAATCAAAGAATTGCACCAAAGCATTATAGAAGTGGCATGAGCCACATGACCTGCGGCTACATACCATTCGTTGTATTCTCTTAGCCGGAGAATCTGGTTAGCTCTACTGAGCTAAGCAGGGTAATGCAGGGCTCACTTCTTGGCTGAGAACATCAGCTGAGCTCTGAGACAATGAGCATGGCTCTGTATCAGCATCACCACAGAGAGCCAACCAGATAGAATTGAGCAAAATCAAATCAGCTGAATATGCAAAAGCATATTCAGTGACAATTCAAATTGAGAATTACTTCTCAAAGTCAGCTATGCTTTTAGTTCGTCTACTCCAGCCTTAAATGGTCACCCCAGACCCCTAAACAGCTTTACCTTGCAGAAATGCTGAAGAGTGTGTCCTCTTTTTCTCATTTTGTAAAAAGTGCAGATTTCAATCGAAACAGATACTTTAAAAAAAAAAAAATTAACCTTGTTACACCCCCTTGGCTTTCAAGCAGTAACAGATAATGTTACTTCCTGGTTTCAAAAGCTCAATGCAGCTGACCTCAGGAGGCAGCAATTGCGTAGACCAACTGACTAGCAAAGACTTTGCATTGAGCTGCATTGGGAAGTCTGTGATTGGACACCCACAGAAAGTCTGGGCGGGGTTAAAAGGAGAGAACTTGCAAAGGCAGCAGACAAGAGAACTGCATGTTTTGCAAGCTGATTTTAGATATGTCTCCCATGAAAAAATATATAATGAAATGCATGCAAGTTTTCATTTGCGGTATATCTACTAAACAGTGATTAAAAAAAAAATTATTTGGGCAGTGGAGTGCACAATTTAAATACGAACTTCATATTGAATGCACTTTAAGCTTGCATTTTGAAAGACACTAAGAGTAATAATAAAACAATATCCTATCATTTGATGTCTTCTTTTCTCAATCTTCCTACTTAAGCAGAAAAAAAAATACAAAGAAAAAAAAATTATAATATGACAGGACTCTTTAGTCATACATCTCAAATAAAAATTAAAAGCAATTTTTTATTTTTTTTATCGATATGAGCCAAATCGACTCTGCTACAATCGAGCATTTAATGCAAGAGAGACTGTTATAAAGTCCTTCCCATTAGTCAGAGCACTGTGATTGGCTGCAAGCTAAGCAACCACGGTACACAGTACAGAAGTCTCACTTCTCACAAAATATACCTGGTAATATGTATTTATTTATACACTATTTTACCAAGTTGTATAAATTGAGATTTCTCTTGCTTTCAAGTATGTCCTGGGTCCACAAACATTGCAGTGTTACAATAGGGTACAGTGTAATATTAAAAATACAAAATAATATCAAAATGTGCATATATACATTTAATATAGAACAAGTAAGAAATATAACCAGCCATGATTCCAGGTGCATTCGGAGATATGTTGACAGAAATCTCTTTCAGAGATGGAGCAAGATTTAATTGTGTCTGTAATATAATGTAGGTGCTCTGTAGGAAACTGAGGATTGAGCTATTTTCTTCTTGTATTGTGGTATTCTAAATAGAGTGCTGGTACTGGACCGGAGATTAACGAAGGCCAGAGCGGCTGAGAGAGCAATAAACTCAGGTAGGGTGGGAACTTCCCAGAAAAGCTTTTTAACACAGCTAGAAAGATGGAGGGTGCGTCTGGATTCCAGCGATTGCCAGTTTAGCTTTTATAACATGTTACAATGGTGGGTCATGTATAGATGTCGATATTTACACATTTTTTAGTTTATTTTTTTTTTATTTACGCAGGGTTATTTAATATAGTAAGAATTTA